TACATATACAGGGTGATCCGGAAGTCTGCGATGCTCCGCAAAGTTTATTAGAAAAAAAAAAATGACGCTCCAATTCCGGGATATTAATATCGTATTACGCGCGATTGAATCTTGAAAGTTCTCGGCGAATCGAGTTTTGTAAGAGGGATACAAGGCACAGATATCCTTTACGTAATTTCAAGTGGCGTTTAACTTAAGAGAATTTCCGGTTTAGAAACAAGTAATTAGAGGCAGTAATTGCTAAAGTAATAATAATTGAGGGCTCGAAGAAATGCCAATCCAATTAAACTCCTCGCACAATCAAATTCCTCTTTAATCGAAAAATCGACTACAGCTTTACCTTCGATCAAGAATTTGCAACCGAGACGAAAGTTTGTTTCTGGGTCATTGTGTGTGTATGTGTCGTTCCGCAAAAGTCATAAAATGTCAGACTTTATTTCGATATTCCGTCGTGTGTGCGCCGTGAACAAAACTGGAGAACGTGTATTAGCCACTTTCACTCTCGTCGAAGTAACAACGATCTGGCGGAAATTAATTACTTCATAAAAACGTACAGATGATGTAAGATTAATATGGACGGATAACGACTATCCTTTATTTAATACGCGGCTCTTCTTGTATTGCGTGACGTGTGGGATGTAATTATTATCGTTAAGATATATTCTCGATATAGAGAACTCGTGTTTTAAACACATATTCAAGGGATTCCTTTACCGTCCTTACGTTAGATGCTTGAAATTATTATTTCCTGCGTATATATATATATATATATATATATATATATATGTATGTATACAAATATTACGCGTTCGTAAATCTCTGATCGCTCGATCAATTAATTTAATTGTATTATATGCATTTCTTTTGTTATATTATACATGTCTTTAAAAGACGCATTTCGTTTCTAAGCAGGAATGAAATTCAATGATGTCGGCACTGACATAAAATGTGATATTATTCGAGAAAGTTCTTGGTTCGATGATCATTGTGGTTTATAATATAAACCTTTCTTGCAGACTTCCCTGCCCTGTGAATTAGAGAAAAAGATATATATTATTATATATAAATATATTAACTGTAACGCGATTCATAAGCTATTATAAATACCGATCGTCTGCTTTGTAAAGTGTGTCATTCGCGTTTAATATCTTGCGTATTCGTAAAATTATTGAGTCTGTCGAACGATATTAGATCGTGAGTCCACGATCGTATCAAGAAACGTAACAAGCGTCAGTAGTAGGTGGAATCCACGATCGAGAGGTTGGCGAAGTTATATATAATTTAAAAGCAACTAGACCAACTTTTAAGACCAGAATAAAAGAATAGTTATCACGTAGATAGAGATTAATACTGTATAGACTGAGGTATATCGCGAGAGTAGTATTTTGACATTCGTATAGTTTCTGCGTTGCAAAAAGAAAAGAGAAGGCAATTAAATGAATACTTCCATTCGAACACTCACGATTCTTCTTCCCTTACCTCAAAATTGTTTATTTATAAGCTGTCGAGCAACCGTTGCATTATGTTCGCCAAAAGGCAACATTTTCGAAATCAATTTATCTTTTCTATGATTCGCACAATAGATAGCGCTCGCTGGATATATATATTTAAAAATAAAGTTTAATAAATACATATATATATATTTCAGAACGGAAAGAGAAGTCGTTATTCTTTATTCCTGTGCACAGAAAAAAAATAAGTGTCAAATCAAAACTTATATAGTTAAAGTAACGCATTCATCGTTTCGTATATACGCAACAATTTATAATCTTCCTAGGAGAAATTAATAATTTCAATTTTCAACAATATTATAGTCTTATTTTAATAATGTAATTGTCACCTCAAAAATATATAATTATTTAATTATACTTTAAGAAAATTATTATCTTCGATTTAAAAATGTTATTTTCCATCTACACATTGTTTCTTTTCCATTCAAGAAAATTAAATCTTAAATCGTAAGAATATATTTTTCTTGATTGAACTGTATAAAATGGCTTCATTCAACTATTCAAGCAATTATATTTTTCTGTAATTAACGCATAATCTCATTTCCAAATTTCCATTTAAAACTAAATATATTTTCAAAACAAGAATGTCTTTTTTTTCTGCGTAGCATTTCACCGTTTTTCATACAAGGATTATATTATCGGGACGAGGCAGAAATCGTGAGATTTTTCCCATACATTTTTTCCGCGATATTAGAATAAGAAATGTATGCACAGAAAAGAAGTAAGTGTCAAATAAAAACTTATATACTTGAACTAACGCATTCATTGTTTCGTATATACGCAACAATTTATAATCTTCTTAGAAGAATTTAATAATTTTAAATTTCAACAATAGAGTATTATTTTAATATTGTAATTGTCACCTCAAGAATACATAATTATTTAATTCTACTTTAAGAAAATTCTAATCTTTGATTTAAAAATGTTATTTTCTCTCCAACATAGTTTCTTTTCCATTCAAGAAACTTAAATCTTAAATCATAAGAATATATTTTTCTCGATTGAATTATATAAGATGGTTTCATTCAAATAAGCAATTATTCGAGCAATTATATTTTTCTTTAATTAACGGAATATAATCTCATTTCAAGATTTCCATGTTAAAATTAAATATATTTTCAAAACGAAAATGTCCTTTTTTTCTGTGTAACGTAATTATTCCTTAAACTCACAGAAAAAAATAAGTGTCAAATCAAAACTTATATACTTAAATTAACGCGTTCATTGTTTCGTATATACGCAACAATTTATAATCTTCTTAGAAGAATTTAATAATTTTAAATTTCAACAATATTATAGTCTTATTTTAATATTGTAATTGTCACCCCAAAAATACATAATTATTTAATTCCACTTTAAGAAAATTATAATCTTTGATTTAAAAATGTTATTTTCTATCCAACATTGTTTCTTTTCCATTCAAGAAAATTAAATCTTAAATCATAAGAATATATTTTTCTTTATTGAACTGTATAAAATGGCTTCATTCAAGTAAGCAATTATTCAAGCAATTATATTTTTCTTTAATTAACGCGATATAATCTTATTTCAAAATTTCCACGTTAAAACTAAATATATTTTCAAAACAAGAATATCCTTTTCTTCTGTGTGCGAGCGTATGTTTTAATATTCCTAAGCGCTAATGTATGTATTGGTGCACGAGATGTGTATCGAAGTGAATGCTCAAGAAACGTCGGAACGTTCTCATGTTATTGCTCATTCCGAATTTATGTAAAAGCATTGTACGTACTCGGGGAAGCGCGAGGAATATTGCAGGCCAGAAAATCCAGCCTCGCGCCAAGAGTTCGCTTTTGACGTCACAATACCACCACGCTTACAGCGGATGGGCGGCTGCACAGCATAATTCAGCATATAAAGTCGGCGATGACTTGTGTCGTTCAAGTGAAAATTCTTGTCGTTCGCATACATTTTTGCCGTTGCATAAAAATAGCTTGCCGCGCTTGCCGGGACTTATCGCACAATCCGGTGTTTAATATATACTGATTTGCAAACAGATTTATCGTTAATAATAATTAGCTGGCGAAAAAAATAAATAGGAGGCGCGATTTTTATCTTTCATTTCTCTCTCTCTCTCTTTCTTTCGATCAATTTAAATTTTCTTAAAATATTCTCTGATTTTGCGATATTCTTAATAATAGTAATTTCCTTCAGAGTAAAAGATGCCATCGTTTATTTTACACACGAATGGCATTCTCGAGATTAGCGGTGTTTATTACGGATATTGAGGTGTACAATGGTTAATTTATTTCGATTATTCTCTACATATTTTTATTTTTACAAGATGTTACATAACATGTGTGTTTTAATTCGCGACTTTAATTTTAATGACATTTCTTCGAAGAATGAAGTTGAGCTTTCCTTGGGGAGAATAGTGACAGTTTTCGAATTACAAGCGATTGGAAAATATTAGCTTTCCATAAGCTAAGCTTAAAGACACGGAAATGAATAGTAAAATCGATTTTTTCATTTTTAATTAACTCTCGAGTCAATTTCGATAGCTCAGTTATAAAGAATGCGTAATGTCGAAAATTGGAAAATCACGATTAACGCTGATCTCCCTTTTAACATTTTTGACGAGAAATTGATTTTAAATTGATCTATCATCATAACCAGGGATCGCACAAGTTTGCAGAACACATTCTATATTTAGTATCATTAATATGCGAAAGTATTGTAGTTCTGATATTTACAGTGGAATGACACGCGCATTAAGCCCCTCACGCAATCAAATTGCGTTTACGTTATGTGTCATTATAATCTACTTAAGCATTTGCCTGTCGTAAATATTTTTAACTTTGCAGAAGATAAGTAACTTTTATTCTCGGGGGACATTAACTCTTGATCTTTCTAAATGGGGCGTTCAACTTTAAAAAAAAATGAAATAATCTTTCCCTAATGTATAAAAATGTTCAAGTTTTGTAATTGCAAATATTATTTTTGCCATTTTACATAAAGAAGTAGAAGAGAGGAGGGGAAAAAGAAACAGGAAATTCAGTCAGAATAACATAAGCTATTGCTTTATGCGCATCATCGACAGTTTGCATTATGCAACTTTGAAGAATGTAAAATTTACTTCTATGTTTTTTCTATATTTTTATAGCTTTTTTAGAGTCATTTTTATAGTCATTTTTATAGCTTTTTTAAAGAATATTACGAGAGCACAAATCATGTCAAGTAAGTAAGTTGAAATTTTTGTGTTTAAGAAGCTTATAAATATATATAAGATCACGATATAAGTTTCAACATTAAAATCTTATCTTGCGATAGACTAGACTTTTTGATGCTCGATGTCGAGGTCAGATAATGACGCGAAGAGATATGGATTCTTCAAGATAATCAATAGTTTTTCCTGGAATTATATATATGCACGAGCAATACGAGCATGTAATAAATGTACCATATTTTCTTTCTGTGAATGTAAATTATGTATGAAAATTTATTGGTAGCTAAAAAGGGATAAAAGGCAAGTTTTCCTTTCAAGTATTCAATATTTATTTCTCTATAAAACATCGCTGGTTGTACATCGATAAATAGTACAGCAATTTATTGCATTTGTATTAATTTACGCTTTACACTATGTCTAAAAAGAGAAGGAAATATTGTCGCAATTTAGAGACGCAATTCGAGTCTTGCATCCGAGTATTACTTTTTTATTTTCGCTATAAAAAATCTACATTATATTTCGCAGATAACGTAAATTATAATCGCTTATTAGCAAGGAGACTTTTACGATATTGTAACAAAGTAACAAATACATTACATCTACTTAATTAGTTATTTAATTTTAATATGCGCAGTACTGTGGCTTCTTTAACCCTTTACTCCACCCTTCGTGTGTTTCTGCAATTTAACAATACGTAAAAATTATTTATAAACATAAATAAAAATCAAATTTTATATAAAAATAAAATTATATAATATAAATAAAATTAAACAAATTAAAATCTGGTCTCTATAGTTATATATAAATAGATAAATATAAGTCTCTTTCGAATAAAATATGTCGCAGATAGATTTATATATTGAAGTAGCATTGATTGATTTATAATTGTAATTAATATTTTTTAATATCATATATTTGTTTAATTCAAAATATGAAAATCCTTACCGCGAATTGTTCCTTGTTATAGCGATTGACGATCTTACAACGAGCACGTCCGGCAAGTCCATGGTATTGCTCGCACGTACAATCCTTCTCGAATTCGACACTTATAAGATTCTCGGCGATCTTTCTAGCAACAACCTGGGCAAACTGTCTCTTCTGATTCGGTTTAGCATCCACGAGATTGTTGGAAATGAACGCCGCTCCTCCAGACTGGAACGACATCATATAAGGACGATTCGTATAGTTTACATTTAAAGCTATTAATCTTTTTATTAAATCTTTTTATTAAATCTTTTTATTAAATCTTTTTATTAAATTAAATTTTATTAATGGCTCCTTTAAAATGTGTCATTGATCTCTTTTTTTTTCTTTTAATTTCCGATTACACCTACCGCGACAGCAAAGTCAGCACACACATCGACGGCAGGAAGGACCAGGTTGTTTTTCAGCTCGGTGTTTCCGTTCAGAGGCTTCTTCTTGCTATCGGCGAATACGTAAGCGCTATGGCTGTCGTAACCAACGATGTTCTTCTGCGGTTTACCGGAGACTTGGACGTCGCCAGGATAGTACATGTGATAGTAAGTCAGGCCCAAGTCTCGGTACAGCTTCTCTCCGACTATAACTCTCAACTGTTGCAACTAGAAAAAACCGAAAACATTGCACTCAGCATTATGATAAATAAATTTATTGGATGGAAGGACGAAGGATATTATCCTATGATTCGATAATTCATAAGAAATATTTCCTACACAGAAAAAAGGGATATTCTTGTTTTGAAAATATTTTAGTTTTAACATGGAAATCTTGAAATGAGATTATATTGCGTTAATTAAAGAAAAATATAATTGCTTGAATAGTTGAATGAAACCATTTTATAGAGTTCAATCAAGAAAAATATATTCTTACGATTTAGGATTTAATTTTCTTGAATGGAAAAGAAACAATGTGTAGATGGAAAATAACATTTTTAAATCGAAGATAATAATTTTCTTAAAGTAGAATTAAATAATTATATATTCTTAAGGTGACAATTACATTATTAAAATAAGACTATAATATTGTTGAAATTTGAAATTATTAAATTCTCCTAAAGAGATTATAAATTGTTGCGTATATACGAAACAATGAACGCGTTAATTCAAGTATATAAGTTTTTATTTGACACTTATTTTTTTTCTGTGCATACATTTCTTATTTTAATAGCGCGCAAAAAAATATATGGGAAAAATTTCACGATTTCTGCCTCGTCCCGATGGTATAATCCTTGTATGAAAAACGGTGAAATGCTACGCAAAAAAAAAAGACATTCTCGTTTTGCAAATATATTTAGTTTTAAATGGAAATCTTGAAATGAGATTAAATTGCGTTAATTAAAGAAAAATATAATTGCTTGAATAGTTGAATGAAGCCATTTTATACAGTTCAATCAAGAAAAATATATTCTTACGATTTAAGATTTAATTTTCTTGAATAGAAAAGAAACAATGTTAGATAGAAAATAATATTTTTAAATCAAAGATTATAATTTTCTTAAAGTAGAATTAAATAATTATACATTCTTGAGGTGACAATTACATGATTAAAATAAGACTATGTAATATTGTTGAAATTTGAAATTATTAAATTCTCCTAAGAAGGTTATAAATTGTTGCGTATATACGAAACAATGAACACGTTAGTTTAAGTATATAAGTTTTGATTTGACAATTATTTTTTTTCTGCGTAGACTGTTTCCATCGACTCTTCACAGAAAAAAAAGAAGTGTCAAATAAAAACTTATATACTTGAACTAACGCGTTCATTGTTTATACGCTTGTTTATACGTTGTATATACGCAACAATTTATAATCTTCTTAGAAGAATTTAATAATTTTAAATTTCAATAATATTATAGTCTTATTTTAATATTGTAATTGTCACCTTAAGAATATATAATTATTTAATTCTACTTTAAGAAAATTATAATCTTTGATTTAAAAATATTATTTTCTATCCAACATTGTTTCTTTTCCGTTCAAGAAAATTAAATCTTAAATCATAAGAATATATTTTTCTTTATTGAACTGTATAAAATGGCTTCATTTAAGTAAGCAATTATTCAAGCAATTATATTTTTCTTTAATTAACGCAATATAATCTCATTTCAAGATTTCCATGTTAAAAACTAAATATATTTTCGAAACAAGAATGTCCTTTTTTTCTGTGTTGATCGATAATTCAAGGAGGATCGATTATATAAACTGCTGTTAAAGTTAGACGAATGTGCCTCGGGCGTATCTTAGAATACTGACAGGAGATAAAAATAGAAAGATGCTCACCGAGAGAGGCAACGGACTCTTCTCGCACGGGGTAGCGAGAATTCCGACGACAGCCTTGACCGCGCCGGCTCTGAACGGATAGTTGATACCCTCCTCGTAAGCGTCGGTCAACTTAAAGGTGCCAAATTCCACATCCAGCTTTTGCCCGATATAGTCCAGTCGTTTTTCAATATCGCCTTTCTTGGCCTCCTGCGAACACGCAAATATTTCATGTATCGAAATGATACTATCGAGAACTGCATTCGTGTCAGTTTCACGACAATCTTGACAAACGTTACCTCGAAGGTAACAAGCGGATCCACCTCTTCGAATTTTATATTCTTCACATCACCCTCGATGTTAAGATTGCCATTGTAAGTGTAGTGTTGCGGCCAATTCATGTGCTCGCCAAAACCGATTAAGCCGATGTGGACGTCCCTATTAGAAGAAGACGTGATAATAATGATAAGAATATATTATGAAGATACATATAACGAAGATACATACGTTATGCCCTGTTGTTTGAATTCCTCTCTTAGGTCGGTTATCAACGTTGGAATCAGATCTTTGAAAAGTTTTTCGTTTTGTACAATTTGTTCGACTATTAAGACAATGTCGGCTTCGTGCTGCGGGACCTTAATGCTGAAACTATCACCCACAGCGATCGTGTCTTTGCCGGCCTTGCAATTTGCTAAAATAACAGGACAAATTTGTTTTTTAATAATCATTACTACCCATCTATTTTAAGGATGTTTTGTATGTATAATCCCAGCAAAAAGTAGCTGAAAATCAATGACGAATATATCCACTTTTGGTGTTATTTTGAGTAAGAAATTGTGTGGAATATTACAATTTGATCTTGGCTACAGTGCAAAGATGTATTTTTTAATATTTATTGCGTTTTTACTGAAACTTGTGACAGATACATGGCTAACTTTATTGAATTATATTTAATATCTTTTTAACCAGTTAGTACTTGTATAATATTATTTGACCAAATATTTCCTCTATATCTAAACTTTTGCAAATTTTCAACAAATTCTATATTATTTCCATGTGTTTTTGTCATTTGAATCGACGTAGTTATACGTTTCCCATAAAAACTCATGTTAATTCAGTTCAAATTAAAATCCTTATAACTTGTGAACGCTTACTGAATAGATTTAAAAATTGTACTAAAGATTTTAAACATATGTAAGGAGATTTTGTACAATTTTCATTAAATTCTCAATATTTTAAAAATAGGAACAAAACATCCTTAAATATTTTTTAAAATAATGTTTTATATAAACTTATAATTATGAAAAGAGAGAAACTTCATTTTGCATGTGACTCAATATTAATACATGTTTGCAGAGACATTCAAAAAATATTTGAAATAAAGATAAAAATTGTATACGAGCTACTTTTCTCATATTGGATTTTAAGTGATTAATGTGTGATAGAAATTCATCTACATATTAATTAAAATCCTGTTGGAAATATTTATTTTAATCATGTCAAATCAAAAATAAATATTTTAAATATGGATATCTCTGTTATAAAATTTATTAAACATAATTAAAATAATTATAAAATATAAAATAAAAAATAAAATTAGTATAAAATAAAATATACAATATAAATATAATGATATTAAAATATTTAAATGATATTAAAAGATATAAATGATTATTTTTGCTAGTTTGCATTTGAAACGAGTCCATTATCGATCGTGTTTAATGGAAAAATCGACAAATTTATTTCCAATGAGAGCTATTTTTCTTGCAATACGTGTATTAATATCACATTCGATCATACTTTATGCGAAGTAGTATAAGTCAACAATTTAACTTACTGCAAGCGGCCGGGATGCTTATTCCGTAAACACGCTTATAATAGCAAGCGGAGTAGTAAGCGGCGGCGAGCAAGCAAGGAGCTTGCGGATTTGCGTTAGCGGCAAAGTCGCAAGCGGCTCGGTAATGAGCCGGTTTAACGTAGTTGAAGCAGTTTCTAAAACATCACGGGCAAACATCGTTTTCAAGTTACCTCTAAGTAAACGTGATTACACGATGGTTATATTGTTTCTGGTATTCTATCTCAAATGTGAAATGCCATCTCTAATATATACAATACACAATGAGTGTCTCATAGTAAGATTAAGCTCATCAAGGGCTATTTTATTATCACAGCGAAATAAGTATTCCTCCTATAAAGTTCATCATAAATTTTATATCATTTTTTTTTAAATATTAGATGTGACATTTGCATCTTTCGTCCCTTCCTCCGTATTATCTCAATATATATTTATATGTGTTGCTTTTGATGGATAGAGAGAGAATAAATTTATAAAATTTTCCACTCTAGATTCTCGACATTTTATTTCTTACTTAACGTCACGTATAATTCAATTTAAATGACGAATGTATACTTACTTCAATGCAGACTTCTCGCTGGTAAAGTACTCAGTGCAGACTGGATTATGCTGAGACTTGTGATCGATCGCGTTCACAGCCGCGCAATCGGGCTTCAGTTTGTATCCGTTGGCAAATTCAGTATCGCTCTCGGTAATCTGTTTCAATTGGAGAAAAGGCTTTTTAGAGATCACTGCAAATGCATATTTTATCGTTCGCAAAGTTTTATCGTTCCAAGATACTTTCGTTGCAAGACGCTTCTCGTCTTTATCTTTGTTATAAAAAATAAAAGATGTGATTTTATCTTGACAGCCTTTTGAATAAACGAAGAACTTTTATTAGATGCCATTAATATTAAAAGATACTTTATTTTTTCGCTTAAAAATATCCAGACGATGTCGTCGGTTGTTCTAGTTTCAAAACTACCGACTCAGATATCCATTTCGAAGGAATGCCGAGCCATTTGGGAATTTGCGATCCCTTTGGGAAAGAATGTCATTCAAGCATTTGTCTATCGATCCAAGTGAAAAGTTTCGAATAAAGGCAAAAGCGTACAAAGAATATGATTTATAGTCCTGCGATATTATCGTAATGTTTTACGAATAAAAGCGCGCGCCAAGAAAACGGGGAACGAGCTACCGAGGGTAGAAAGCAGATTATGTTAAATATTTATAACACCGTCTTCATTTTTCATCGCGTTTCCAGCTTCCACGTTTACGCCCTATCAATTTCAGTTCCTTTTATGATAAAATTAGCTGAAAAAAAATGTATTAAAAATTCTGCTGCTTTTATTTATTTTTATTATTTCTGTAATGTGCAGATTTTTCAGCTTGAAAAGCTTGAAATTTAATAAAAAATTGGTTCAATCGCTTAAAAAAAATCGAAAAATATAATTAATAAATTTATTTATTTATTTATTATTAAAAATATTATTAAAATGAGTTTATTTAGCGAAAATTCTTTAAAAAAAATTGTGCGTATCCGATGCAATTAGAATCGATTTTCCGATTTCTCGTTGCGTGAGAAATTATTAAGGATGTTTTGTACTTACTTTCAAAATATTGAGAATTTAATGAAAATTGTACAGAATGTCCTTACATATGTTTAGAATCTTCAGTACAATTTTTAAATCGATTCACTAAAGCGTTCACAAATTATAAGGATTTTAATTTGCACCGAATTAACATGTATTCTTATGGGAAACGTATAACCACGTCGATTCAAATGACAAAAACACATGGAAATAATATTCAGAATTTGTTGAAAATTTGCAAAAGTTTAGATATAGAGGAAATATTTGGTCAAATAATATTATACAAGTACTAACTGGTTAAAAAGATATTAAATATAATTCAATGAAATTAGCCATGTAAAAATTCTCTGCCAAAAGTTAATCATTTCGATTAACAAAATTCGAAATATTTCAGTAAAAACGCATTAAATATTAAAAAATACATGCACTGTAGCTAAGCTCAAATTGTAATATTGCACAATTTCTTACTCAAAATACATCAAAAGTGGATATATTCGTCAATATTAATTTTCAGCTACTTTTTGTTGGCATTGTACAAAACATCCTTAATTTAACAGTAAAATAGCTGCAAACTCTCTTTTTCTTTCTCTCACCTTTCCAGAAGGCAACGTGTAGTCGTCATAGGGCTCGTTGTTGCCGTCACCGAGAAGGCCGCGTAATTTTCCGTGATAAAAGCCGGACACGCTGACCGTGCAAATCACAGTTTTCAGTTTATAGGTGAATGTGACGTGCACGCCATAGTCGGATTTGATGTGTGCGATCGGGCCAACGAGGAACGCGTGCAGATTCTTCGTGTTGGCTGGGAAATCGGCTGGCTTGTTATTCACCAGGATCTGAAAAAGGGAGAAGCGCGCAAATGCAGTCGCGAACGTGGAGAGCCAAACATTTTGCGCAAATTTTAAAAAATGAGCGCAAAAAAAAGAAAGAAAAATTGCAAAAAAAAAAGAGAAACAAAAGAAGGAAAAAATAAAAGAGCAGGCCGAAAGTTGCGCGTTCGTAATAACGAGGTTGTCCGCGCAATGAACAGCGGCGAATTTTTATTCCTCCCTCGCTCGGTCCGTCTGTAAGAGAAGCGACGCGAGGATAATAGAGTTTGGCTTGTCAGCAAAGTTTGGAGCCCCTCGGTAAACTTATCGAGTTACAGTTCAATACGGGATTGCATTATAAGACTCGTCCTCGGAATACCGTATGAGCACGATCTGTGGTTTCACCCTCGTCCTGCTACCTCCCGCCCCCCCCCCTCCCTCGCCCCGGTCGCTTTTTCTCTTTCTCCCTTCGCCCCATTTGCTATCCGCGTTCCCGATTCACGTCACATATTCACCGTAACTTGCCGTTGCTATAGGAAATTGGTTTATAGAGATAAGAGAAACGAACTTACGTTGCCATTGTTCTTCAGCGTGATGCTCTCTTTAGGTTCGGTAACGGTCACGCTAATGAGGTTCCCTTTGTTGAAGTTGGCGACGACGGAGAAATTGCCGTCCTCTATGTCTTGGGCCAAAATGTAGGTACAGTCACCGGGTGCGCCGAAGTGATTGCCGTCGAAGGTGAAGAAGTGTCCCCCGTCGACGACGATGCCGATTTTACTGAACGGGGGCACTATGTCGGAGAGCAGCAGCGTGGGTCTGTTTAAAGTGGAGGAGCGGAATTAACGTCGTGAATCAACGTTGAATATTCTTTCAGCTTTTAACTGATTGTAAAAAGAATGAATACGACATTCGTTATATATATTTAAAAAAAAGAAGGAAGAGAATAATTAAATTTCTCTCTTTCTAAAGTGCATCTAACACTTTTTTGATATAAATACATTTTCGAGAGAAATACAAGTTTTTTAAATTAACAAGTAAAGTTAAAAATTGCGTTATAAAGTAAAATTTGATATGTAGAATAAAATAGGAAGTTTGATAAATCAAAAGAAGTTTAATATATATATATATATATATATATATATATATATATATATATATATATATACCTGTAGGTGTAGTAGAGATCCGAAAGGGATGGAAATTCGTTATTACGTAACATATCGATAAGGGAAACCTTTAGCGAGGTAATCACTGGTAATTTCGTCAACGTTTCAAACTGAACAGATAGATTACTCTTGAACAAACTCTCTATCAATTCGTCCCAGATGTCGCTGGATTGTAGAAGCTTGATGAGAGACGCGATAGCGTCAAGCGTACGCTGATAGATCTTTTTGATCTCATTGACATCGTCGACCTGTGCGAGACCAGAATATAATTATCTCGATGACCTTGTTATTCGAGTCGCGTTCAAAAGATGCTACACTGAGAAAAAATCTGGTTGCATTAATTAAAATTCTGGTAGATTCAACCAGTATGTTTGTTGGAAAATAGACGAACCAGAATTCTTGTAGGAATTACCAGATGAATCTGATTAATTTCTTCCTGTTAGATTTACCAAATTTTTTGGTTAATAATACTAAACTCGCCAGCACCAAGTCGTCTAAAATTTTGTCCATCTAATCTCAAAAGTTTATCTAATATTCTGAATTCTAAAATTATTGGATAAATTCAATCCAGATTATTGAATAAATTATTTTAAATTCAGTTTGTTAGAAATTAAATTGATAAACAGTGATGCAAAAAGAGAATGCAGCTCAAATACAATCAGAGAGCTGGTATCCTCTTTCTAGCACTACTGCTGGTAAGAGAAAAAAAATATACTTTGGATTTAATGTTAATACTACACTAAGAAAAAAATCTGGTTGTATTAATTAGAATTCTGGTAGATTCAACCAGTATGTCTGTTAGAAAATGGACGAACCAGAATTCTTGTAGGAATTACCAGATGAATCTGATTAATTTCTTCCTGTTAAATTTACCAAATTTTCTGGTTAATAATACTAAACTCCCCAGTACCAAGTCGTCTAAAATTTTGTCCATCTAATCTCAAAAGTCTGTTTAATATTCTGAATTCCAACAAGATTATTGGATAAATTTAATCCAGATTATTGAATAAATTATTTTAAATTCAGTTTGTTAGAAATTAAACTGATAAACAGTGATGCAAGAAGAGAATGCAGCTCAAACACACACAATCAGAGAGCTAGCGTCCTTTTTCTGGCACTACTGCTCGTAAAAGAAAAAAAATATACTTGGATTTAATGTTAATACTAATTCTTTATATACATTTTATGGCAAATATTGAATACGAGTTAAGTTAAGAAGCAAGCAAAGAAATTAACGCAACAAGAAATTTTATAGATCCAATCAGAAAATACTAATCAAATCCTTATAGTAAAATCTATTAAACGTTCTAGTGATAAAAAATTGAATCTTATCATGATAACTAGAAATTCTTGTTTGATGTAACCAAAATGCCTTCAGTCATATACGTCTTGTTAGTACAATCAAATGATTTTTCTCAGTGTATCAATCGAAATGGCAGAGCGACGTAAAAAATGGATGGGAATCCTACCTTCTCGTGTTTAACATGTTTTATGATGTATTCGTAGGTAGTACTGAAGAGCTGTCGAAGTTCTTCGGTCGGCAGCGAGGACTCTATAATATTACTAAGCTCGTTGAGGGATACCAGTATGGTCTCCGGTAATTGGAAGTTTTTGATATCTTTGTAGTGTTCCTTCACGAGCTCGTAGATCGGTAATGCCTTGACTTGGTTGAGCAGCAGGACCGCAAACTCATCGACGTCTTTCTTGATCTGACCGACGACCTTGAATATAATTTTAGCGATGTCCTGAGCAAACTCGGAGGCCACGATCGCCAATTCCTTCAACTCCTTCTGATGATCATTGATCAGAGTGAGCAGCGCCTTGAGGTAAGCTATGGCGACGTTGGCAAGGCTGTCGAGAATTTTGATGTACGCCTTGACTATATGATCGTAGGACTCTCTCAGTTGAGGAGAGATATTGTTCCACGCTTCTTGGAGTTTCGAGATGAACTCGTTATATTCTTTCTGGATTTCGTGCAATCGTGCAGCTATCTGCTTCAAGGTGTCTGTCACGGCGTTGATGATAGCTCCGAAGTGCTTGTTTCTGAAAGGATGCGATCGATATTAAGGTACGGTAACTTAGCGAAAGATCTACAAACTTCAATCTATAAAAACGTTTACGTATCATCATTATTGATTTCTATCAATTCACATGAGAAGCTATGTGTCACGTAAGAAATATATAATTATTGTTAAGAGATTAGAGTCAATTTATGACGTCACACTACAAATTCCATTATTATTTATAAATTATATTATATTATATTATATAAATTATATTATATAAATATTGAGTATCATTTAATTTCTATAATATTGAATATATAATGCAATATATGAAAGAGACGTAATCATTTCCTTACAAGGTAGCCTGTATGTCTTTGATGGTCTGGTCAGCGTGAAGCTCGTCCTTCAATTTGCTCAATTCAGTCTCGTAATAGTCCAAGAGCGGCTTGATATTCGGCTGAGCCTTCTTCAAATGTTCCAAAAGATCTTTCACCTCCCGTTCTGCCTCCTTGATTATTTCAATAGAGGCATCTTTGAGCTGTTTCAGCAACTCGACGCTTTGGCTTCGAGAACGTTCCTAAAATAAAATAGTAAAATAAATAAAGCAATATTATACGCGCATACACAGAAAAAAAGCATCAAATCAAAACTTATATACTTGAACTAATGCGTTCATTGTTTCGTATATTTGCAACAATTTATAATCTTTTTAGAAGAATTTAATAATTTTAAATTTCAACAATATTATAGTCTTATTTTAATATTGTAATTGTCACCTCAAAAATATATAATTATTTAATTCTGCTTTAAGAAAATTATAATCTTTGATTTAAAAATGTTATTTTCTATCCAACATTGTTTCTTTTCCATTCAAGAAAATTAAATCTTAAATCATAAGAATATATTTTTCTTGATTAAACTGTATAAAATGGCTTCAGTCAAGTAAGCAATTATTCAAGCAATTATATTTTTCTTTAATTAACGCAATATAATCATTTCAAGATTTCCATGTTAAAACTAAATATATTTTCAAAACAAGAATGTCCTTTTTTTTGCATAGCGTTTCACCGTTTTTCATACAAGGATTATACCATCGGGACGAGGCAGAAATCGTGAGATTTTTCCCATACTTTTTTTGCGTGATATTAAAATAAGAAATGTATGCACAGAAAAAAAATAAGTGTCAAATAAAAACTTACATACTTAAACTAACGCGTTCATTGTTTCGTATATTTGCAACAATTTATAATCTTTTTAGAAGAATTTAATAATTTTAAATTTCAACAATATTATAGTCTTATTTTAATATTGTAATTGTCACCTCAAAAATATATAATTATTTAATTCTGCTTTAAGAAAATTATAATCTTTGATTTAAAAATGTTATTTTCTATCCAACATTGTTTCTTTTCCATTCAAGAAAATTAAATCTTAAATCATAAGAATATATTTTTCTTGATTAAACTGTATAAAATGGCTTCAGTCAAGTAAGCAATTATTCAAGCAATTATATTTTTCTTTAATTAACGCAATATAATCATTTCAAGATTTCCATGTTAAAACTAAATATATTTTCAAAACAAGAATGTCCTTTTTTTTGCATAGCGTTTCACCGTTTTTCATACAAGGATTATACCATCGGGACGAGGCAGAAATCGTGAGATTTTTCCCATACTTTTTTTGCGCGATATTAAAATAAGAAATGTATGCACAGAAAAAAAATAAGTGTCAAATAAAAACTTATATACTTAAACTAACGCGTTCATTGTTTCGTATATTTGCAACAATTTATAATCTTTTTAGAAGAATTTAATAATTTTAAATTTCAACAATATTATAGTCTTATTTTAATATTGTAATTGTCACCTCAAAAATATATAATTATTTAATTCTGCTTTAAGAAAATTATAATCTTTGATTTAAAAATGTTATTTTCTATTCAACATTGTTTCCTTTCCATTCAAGAAAATTAAATCTTAAATCATAAGAATATATTTTTCTTGATTAAATTGTATAAAATGGCTTCAGTCAAGTAAGCAATTATTCAAGCAATTATATTTTTCTTTAATTAACGCAATATAATCATTTCAAGATTTCCATGTTAAAACTAAATATATTTTCAAAACAAGAATGTCCTTTTTTTTGCATAGCGTTTCATTGTTTTTCATACAAGGATTATATCATCGGGACGAGACAGAAATTGTGAGATTTTTCCCATACTTTTTTTGCGCGATATTAAAATAAGAAATGTATGCACAGAAAAAAATAAGTGTCAAATAAAAACTTATATACTTAAACTAACGCGTTCATTGTTTCGTATATACGCAACAATTTATAATCTTCTTAGAAGAATTTAATAATTTTAAATTTCAAGAATATTATAATCTTGTTTTAATATTGTAATTGTCACCTCAAAAATATATAATTATTTAATTCTGCTTTAAGAAAATTATAATCTTTGATTTAAAAATATTATTTTCTATCCAACATTGTTTCTTTTCTATTCAAGAAAATTAAATCTTAAATCATAAGAATATATTTTTCTTGATTAAACTGTATAAAATGGCTTTAGTCAAGTAAGCAATTATTCAAGCAATTATATTTTTCTTTAATTAACGCAATATAATCTCATTTCAAGATTTTCATGTTAAAACTAAATATATTTTCAAAACAAGAATGTCCTTTTTTTCTGTGTATTACATGTCGAATAATGATGCTGTACTTACGAGGGTGTAGATAATATTGTCCTTATTGTAGCCGAAGTCAGGTTTCAGGAACTTCTCTTCATCAAGATGGACCAAAGCGTAGAACAGATTTTTCTTTACACCTTCCTTGAACGCGTCGGCGTGAATCTCCGCCAATTGTCCAAGTACAATGCGTCCGTTAGCGCTAATCTTAGTGTTGGGAGAATCTGAGAAATATTAATTCGTAAACTCACGATAGAAGAAACTCTTTATGATTTTATTCGCACACAAAAAAAAGAAGCATCAAATCAAAACTTATATACTTAAACTAACGCGTTCATTGTTTCGTATATACGCAACAATTTCTAATTTTCTTAAAAGAATTTAATAATTTTAAATTTCAACAATATCATCGTCTTATTTTAATATTGTAATTGTCACCTCAAGATCGTATAATTATTTAATTCTACTTTAAGAAAATTATAATCTTTGATTCAAAAATGTTATTTTCTATCCAATATTGTTTCTTTTCCATTCAAGAAAATTAAATCTTAAATCGTGAGAATATATTTTTCTCGATTGAACTGTATAAAATGGCTTCATTCAACTATTCAAGCAATTATATTTTTCATAAATTAACGCGATATAATCTCATTTCAAGATTTCCATGTTAAAACTAAATATATTTTCAAAATAAGAATGTCCTTTTTTTCTGTGCAGGTTAAACAAAGCGATTACATAGCAATTTAAATCAATAAAAGCGTTTGATTCGACATAGCTTACCTTCCTGGTACTCCAAATATTTGAAGCTGTTCCAATCGTTCACTTCTATGCTAATTATGATGGGCTTGTTGCCGACAATCGCGAAGTCGGCGTCGAGTTTCTGCAGATTTTTCTCTAATTTCAGTTTCGCATCGACCCTAAGAAGCTCCTTGTTGGGCGCCTTTACGAGAAGATTCAATTCCGTGTTATCTGCGGCGAACAGGACGCCCACGCTCTTCGTCTTCTGATGCACATCCGTGTAAGTTAATAGACTACCGAAACCGACTTCGTAATCCGTCAGTGCCGCGTGCGACTTGAGATCGACCTTAAGCTGTTGACCACGACTGTTCACTTCGACCACGCTGGTGAGATTGTAGCCTTTCTCGATTTTTTCTCGGTTCAGCTTCGCCACTATGCTGATCTTCTGCGTCTTCTTCGCGAAGATGTCGATATCCACATTCGCGTCCAGCAGGTGTTGGCCGCCATAGTAAAGTTTACCTTTGACTGCCATATCCTAACAACACCGAAAATACGTGGCTCGAAAAGCGAATTATATTCGATCCGGCTTAAAATGGCGAAGGAGCAATGAGGATGAAAAAGTTTAATCTACGAGATAAATTGACGGAAGACGCTCCATAGTCTCTTTCATAGCCAAGCTCGGCTTATGAAACTCGATGTTCCTGCTAGAAAATTGCGAGAAAATCGAAAGTAAACTCAAGACTTCGCTCTCCTTTTGCCTTTTTCTAATTTTTATATCAAGACTTTGATCCTATTCGCGTGAAAATTGGAAGCGAAATTGAAATTACTTCTTCGGCTAGATTTTTTTTTTATCAAACTTGGGTCAATATGATTTCTGGATAGATTTAAAAAAAAAAAATTCCTCGTAAACGTACGAAAGTACATTTCCACGTCAGACGGACGTACCTTTGGCTGAGACGGGTAAATAAATTTAACTTCTCCGTTGAAGGATCCGCTATCCTTTCCGATACTAATGTCTCCGGCAGCGACCAGGGCAGTCTTTTCGGATGGCTTGTTCTTCCTGTCCAAATAAACGGATACATCGGCCTTGAATGCGCCAGTTTGCTTCGTCTTCGGCAAATCGAGTGTGCTTATAACGGCCAGTTCGCGATTAGGTAAGGTCAAAATAGCAGCTGCCAAGAAAAACAGGCGAGTCTTAATTTTTCGTCTTAATTTAATAACATATTAAAATATTATTAAATATGTACAATCCCAGCAAAAAGTAGCTGAAATTCAATATTGACGAATATCCACTTTTGATGTATTTTGAGTAAGAAATTGTGTGGAATATTACAATTTGAGCTTAGCTACAGTGCAGAGATGTATTTTTTAATATTTATTGCGTTTTTACTGAAATATTCCGAATTTTGTTAGGTCGAAATGATTAACTTTTGAGAACTTCAGAGAATTTCGACCTTGTGACAGATACATGGCTAACTTGATTGAATTATATTTAATATCTTTATAACCAGTTAGTACTCGTACAATATTATTTGACCAAATATTTCCTCTGTATCTAAACTTTTGCAAATTTTCAACAAATTCTGAATATTATTTCCATGTGTTTTTGTCATTTGAATCGACGCGGTTATACGTTTCCCATAAGAACACATGTTAATTCGATGCAAATTAAAATCCTTATAACTTGAACGCTTTAGTGAATCGATTTAAAAATTGTACTGAAGATTCTAAACATATGTAAAGACATTCTATACAATTTTAATTAATTTCTCAATATTTTAAAAATAGGTCCAAAACGTCACTTAATACGTGACTATTAATAACTTTTATTAATTTAATTAATAAGTGTTATTGATAAAGAAGCGAGAGAAGCTTTCCTACCGCTTTCCAAGGGATGAATGTAAACGTGATAAGAATACTGGGACTTGTCCTTGGATGAGTGCAAATACAAGTTGGCGGAGTGATCAAACTTGGATTCTGTGATTTCTGTGCTGGTCTTTAATCCAAATTCAGCCGGTACATTGAATTTCTTTAGGTCTACTTCCACTGTTATTTGATGATTCAGGTAATTCTTTTCTGTAAAAATGAACAAAAATATAGATTACAAAAATTGTCTCATTAAAAAATAATCAAGATGATATCAAGATAATGATAAAAATAGTTCGAGTTCCCCTAGTGAAATTATTATTTCACAATCCTTTTTTCTTCTATGCCAGACAAAATTTTCCATGTATATTTAATTTACTCGAGTTTTACACGCGTTTTTCGATTTTATCTCTTTGATTTCTGTCAAACTACAGCGATATAATAGCAAATGTAAAATTATTAAATTATTATCAAGATAAAGGCATAAATAATCGAGGCCATGAGATAAATTGGACGGTGTAATTAACATTTCGGAGAGAGGACAATCGATAATTATCATAAAATCATGAAAGGACGACGAGCATTTGATAGCAATCATAAAAGATTCATAACTATTAATGCTGTCATTGGAAACTCGTTACGCGCCGTCCTATTTACACAGCATTCTCGAGAGCAGTTCCTCGAGTTTAATCACGAGAATTTTATTTCCTCTCGAGGCCCGACAGGATTCCAAATTGATCCCGAGGGAAAGATAAAAGGAGAGAAAAAAGAAAAAAAAGGAGGAGCAGGAGAGAGAAAGAGAGAGATAAAATGTACCAAGTAAATATTATTGCGCCATACGTCATCTAGAAAGGATTAAGACGCGTATACGTCAGAGCACACGCCCTTGCGGCGCGTGACGTCATTCGCGACTTATTTTTTCCTTGTATCGTGCCTTCGCACACCTGGCCTGGTCGGTCACGCCTGTCTTCCCGCATCACGATCCCGGCGTTCGTCGACTTTCCCGTCGAAGGGGGTCGGAAGAGAGAAGGAAAGGTAACAAGGGAAGGAAAAAAATGCGCACCGTCTTGAGCTAGAGCCACGCGAGCGAGTTAGGGGGTGCAAAAATCCGGGGGTCTATTAATAACCGAGGCAAGGCACGAATCGGGTGCGGATCACGCGAGAATAGAAAGCTATCGACCGGGATCCGGGCAGTTTAACGCGCGAAAGGGGAGGCCTGGCATCCTCTCTGCTGCCCGCGAAAACTCCCTGTCGCGGCCTATTGCGCATTCATGCGAAACACACACGGGAGAGATACGTTGGGGAGAATGATACGGAGACGAGAGGTCCATGGAGGGAGGCTCTCTAATTATTTAGCAGGGGTGGACGTGCGTGCAACGCGGATGAGAGCATGTGCGTCGCGATAAGGATGATTTCCTGAGAGACGGAGAACGATACACACTCTCGATATAGTGTGCGGTTCGCATAAACCGCGGGGGTTCGTTATACGGTTCCCGTTAACGTTATACGTTTCTTTTGCATTTTTACGAATCCGTTATGACGAAGCGGGTCTTGATAAAGGGCCGCGACACGCAAAGCGAGCGTATCATGGAGGCAATATATATTTCCAAGTACGCTGTGTCTGACATCCTTTTTATTATGTGCGGAAAGTTTTTCTCCATATAACACACGGTATGCAGTCAATTTTATTATTTTTAAAAATAAATAAGCATGTTGAAAATTGTTTTCTCTCGTTAATTATTCATGAATTCTTTGCATCTCTTTTTCAAACTTAAACAGTCAAAGAAAATGTAACGAAGAGAAGGAAAAAGAAACGCTGCAAGGTGCAGATGTAAAAACGAGTGAAAAAGAGAACACGAAATTTCTTTGTGTGTCTTTTTCAATTTTAAACAACCAAAGAAAAATGTAACAAAAAGAAGGAAAAAGAAATGCTGCAAAGTGCAGACGTAAAAACGAATGAGAAAAAGATACGAAGGAACGAGGTAAAAATTTGAATTCCATTCAGTTTGGCAAAGATTGTTTTATCGAGGATCATACACTGAGAAAAATTTGATTGTACCAACAAGACGTATATGATTGAAGGTATTTCGGTTAAATCAAACAAGAATTTCTAGTTATCATGATAAAACTCGATTTTTTTATAACTAAAACGTTTAATAGATTTTACTATAAGGATTTGGTTAATATTTTCTGGTTGAATCTATAAAATTTCTTGTTGCATTAATTTCTTTGCTTGCTTCTTAATTCGTATTCAATATTTGCCATAAAATGTATATAAAGAACTAGTATTAACATTAAATTCAAGTATATTTTTTTTCTCTTACGAGCAGTAGTGCCAGAAATAGGACGCTAGCTCTTTGATTGTGTATATTTGAACTGCATCCTCTTCTTGCACCACTGTTTATCATTTTAATTTCTAACAAATTGAACTTAAAATAATTTATTCAATAATCTGAATTGAATTTATCCAATAATCTTGGTGGAATTCAGAATATTAGACAGACTTTTGAGATTAGATGGAAAAAATTTTAGACGACTTGGTACTAGCAAGTTTAGTATTATTAACCAGAAAATTTGGTAAATTTAACAGGAAGAAATTAATCAGATTCATCTGGTAATTCCTACAAGAATTCTGGTTTGTTCATTTTCCAACAGACATACTAGTTGAATCTACCAGAATTCTAATTAATACAACCAGATTTTTTCTCAGTGTAGAATTAACATTAAATCCAAAGCATATTTTTTTTCTCTTACGAGCAGTAGTGTCAGAAAGAGGACACTAGCTCTTTGATTGTGTGTGTTTGAACTGCATCCTCTTCTTGCACCACTGTTTATCAGTTTAATTTCTAACAAACTGAACTTAAAATAATTTATTCAATAATCTGAATTGAATTTATCCAATAATCTTGTTGGAATTCAGAATATTAGACAAACTTTTGAGATTAGATGGAAAAAATTTTAGACGACTTGGTGCTGGTGAGTTTAATATTATTAATTCAGAAAATTTGGTAAATTTAACAGAATGAAATTAATCAGATTCATCTGGTAATTCCTACAAGAATTCTGGTTCGTCCATTTTCCAACAAACATACTGGTTGAATCTATCAGAATTCTAATTAATGCAACCAGATTTTTTCTCAGTCTATATATTTCCACTTTCCTCGTCAAAAAAGATGCAATTGACGTGTCGATGAAAATTTGACTTACGATCAGTGTCGTAGCTCGATTGAAGCTTGAAGTGAGCGCAGTCCTTGCTCTGTTCGCAGTAGCTATTGAAGACGAGGACTTCCTTATTCGAGAGTTTCAACTCGCCCACGATAGCCGCTGGATCGAACTTGCCGTTAAAAACGATTATAACGCCGACCTCGCCATCCTTATCCTGAGTCAATTGCTGGCGAGTATACTTGAAGGACGAGCTCCTCGTGTTCTCGCCTATCTTGAGGCTGCCGTTGCCTTCGACGATGGTCTTGCCACCTTCGTCACGTTTCTTGTAGTTTGTGCTGCAAATAAATCATAATCTTACGTCAGATATGCTTTTCATTCTCCTCTCTTTCTCACTTATGGAATTATTGTCCTAGGTTTTTTGTTATAATATTTTTCAAACTTTTCTTGCTGATAATAATTTTGTTCTTAGGGGGTGTATTTCAGAAAAATTGGTGTGTATTCTAAACAATATCATGGAACGTTAATGTTGAGAGTAATGTTATTTTATACACGTATGATGCTTTTCACGCCATCAGTGGCACTCTAAATTTCTGAGAGGAACCATCACAACTTCCAACGTTTTGCGATTTGATCGGGAGTGATCTCGATGGAGCGAATAAAAAGGGTTGCGCACAGTTGAAAGGTATTCTCGGAAACCGCTTGAATTAATTTTAGCAGGTGAATCGATGAAATTACACAGAACGAGGTGGAACGACGAACGAAGATACGTATTCTACCGTATCTCTGATCTCCTTTGAAAATGACCTCGTGCCCTTTCGTTAATTACAGGAGGACATCTTTACTCTTTGTTTTGTCGCCGCGTAGGCGATCGATCTTTTACTTCTTTTATATACGCAAGAGGTGTATCCATATCTCGCGCGTCGTTAGAGAACATCGTTTAGAATTACGTCGGAAATATCGATCCTCCACGACGCAAGTGCGACGGAATGTACGAGATCGCTAATGGAAGTCGAGAATGTCGAGGAAGACGTTTGTGGACTTTTTGCATTCCGCACGACCTGTGTAACTTTATCTTTTCGTTCTTCCCTCTTGATCCAAATAATCATTAATTATTATCGCAACGTTCAGATATACCATGGTTACGGATATACAGGGTGTTCCCGGGTTAAATGGCCAAACTTAAAACATAAATTTGGGATCTCAAAACAAGCAAAAATTTCCTCTGGAAGTTTGCTCGCAAACGCTTCGTTCAAGAGATATCGGCTTGTTAAGTTACAGAACCATAGGAATGAATAATATCGAAATAATTTAGGTTTATCTTTTTTATTGCTTTTTTTATTGCTTTACAGTAACCAAAATTTATGATTATTAAATATTTTGTTCAAAATGATAGATATGCCATATCAGCATATTCACTATTAGAATATGTACGAGGCATATTGTACTACTTTACTTCACGAAAGTATTCAATGAACTAACAATTATTTGGTACACTGCGCGAAATCGATTCTGTTTGTAAAAAATAGAAGCCTATGAATGACCTTCAATCTTCAAAACAAAGACAAAACAGAAATATTTCGGTATTATTCATTCCTATGGTTCTGTAACTTAACAAGTCGATATCTCTTGAACGAAGCGTTTGCGAGCAAAGCACTTCCAGAGGAAATTTTTGCTTGTTTTCAGGTCTCAAATTTATATTTCAAGTTTGACCATTTAACCCGAGAACACCCTGTATACTTCCTTCTTATGCTTTTACCTTCCGGTGATGAGATTCTTGCCATCGCTGGTGACGGCGATGATTATTTTCCTGCCGGTCTTGGCGGTGGGACTGTTGGTGATCTCGGCGTGAATTTTACGATGTTTCAGCTTGTCGCTGTCCAGATTAACGTTGATGACGAAGTTCTCGATGCTCTGCAGGTTGACGTGTGCGTCGGCTACAGCGAAGCCGTAGGGTGTCTCGACTTTCCATTCGCCTAAAATCAAACGCGAATTCGATAAGGATGTTTATTCGAAGAAACGAAAGTTTTGCTTTTTCGAATAGATGCAATATGAATGTAACTAATATAAGAAAGGCAAAATAGATAACTTAAAAATATATGTATCTTACATTTATAAAATATTAAAACATCGTGCAAACATTAAGGATGTTTTGTGCCTATTTTGAAAATATTGAGAATTTAATGAAAATTTTGTCGTGTTTAAATTAAATAAACATTTTCTTATGGTTTATTGAAGTGTAATAAGCGTTCTATTTTTTGCAAATTTTCACCATTGTGTTGATCTTTGAAGCCTTTTAACTAAATTTTATTAATGAAAATTGTACAGAATCCTTACATATGTTTAGAATCTTTAGTATAATTTTTAAATCGATTCACTAAAGCGTTCACAAGTTATAAGGATTTTAATTTGCACTGAATTAACATGTGTTCTTATGGAAAACGTATAATTACGTCAATGATTGACAAAAACATATAAAAATAATATTTAGAATTTGTTGAAAATTTGCAAAAGTTTAGATACACAGGAAATATTTGGTCAAATAATATTGTACAAGTACTAACTGTAATATAAAGATATAAAGATATTAAATATAATTCAATGAAGTTAGCCATGTATCTGTCACAAGGCGAAATTCTCTGCCAAAAGTTAATCATTTCGATTAACAAAATTCGGAATATTTCAGTAAAAACGCAATAAATATTAAAAAATACATCTCTGCACCGTAGCTAAGATCAAATTGTAATATTCCACACAATTTCTTACTCAAAATACATCAAAAGTGGATATATTCGTCAATATTGATTTTCGACTTTTTGCTGAGATTACAAGTACATACAAAACATCCTTAAAATCTTGTAAATTATTTCATTGTTTTTTTTAATTGCCTCAATACTTGCTGAAAAATTTTAATATAATTTCCTGGTTTTGCTTTGAAATTACTTTATTTTTAAGTTTGCATTTCTTATAGAAAGTGTAAAGCACTTATTTAATAAATTTGAAGAAGATTTTGCTACAAATTTTTCCTTTATACAAACGAAATACATATTTATGCAAAACTTATTCATTAACCTATTTGAAATTTAATTTATTTAAAAAAATGTACAGCAAAACACGAATAGATGTCTGTAATAACAAAAAAATTGCATTTGTTACAAATTTATTTTCTTTTTCTGAAAGATTTCTGTCTGAAAATTTCCCATCCATTTCATCTATTTAAAGAAAAATATTAATATTATAAAATCTTTTTTCAATAAAGATATTACGTCACTTTGAAATATTTTCAGTCTCTGCATCCATCTAAATTTATTTGATCAATATTGCAGGCAATACGTGAATATAAAGAGATGTATTTATTTGAAATTTCGGTGACCCTTTTACTTTTATATATCATACGTTCTTAAAAAAAGTTTCCCTTAAATTCGACTAAAATTACCCGTGTATTCTCGGTCGCCAAGCTTCTCGAATTTCGAGAGTAATTCAGTCTTTCCCTTCGGACAAGTGAGAACTATATGGATAATCGGAGAGACGTTGCCGTCTTGAATTTCGCTCTTGGCTGTGTACTTTGTACCGTCGGCGGTGACGGCCACATCGGTTTTCCTTACGTGCCCGTCCTTTTCTCTCTTCAAAAATAAATAAAGAAGGTATTAGACGTTCGTATAATGGATAGATAGTGCCACCCTCGCAGCAATCTCGTTGGTCACTGTAAACTTTACCTTGGTCTTTAAACGGCACGCTGTCGTAAGGGAATAAATTATGGTAAATGACGTAATGGGATATCAAGGGTGACATTTTGCTAGGATGATGCAAAGAATTCGCTCGACGAGTCGAAATCGGCGAAAAAAAAAATGTATTTTTACAGAAGAAGAAGAATGAACAGCGTTGTAAACCTTACCTCGTGCTTGAGTTCAACGTCGATGTTTCGTAGATTCTCGTATGGGGTGATAACCTTGGCCTTTATATCGATATGCGTGAAATCGCGATCGAATGTGAGAGATTCGATCGTGGTGGTCAATTCTTTAGGACCGTACTTGACTGTCGATTTGGTGCTGATTGTCACTTTGTCGCCGTTAGGCACATACTTGTAGTAGTCTTGATAAAGGAAAGGCGGCAGCTTGAGGACTGTCAGATCGACCTTCAAATCGCTCTCGTAAAATTGTTCCCAGTCATCGATGCCGGATGACTTGAAAGCACCATCGAACTTGATCGATTTGTCCTTGTTGTAAGTGAACTCTGATGAGCCTTCCCACTCGACTTTCTTGAGCTGACTCAGCAAGCTATTCTTGAAATCAAAATTGACTTGGTGCAATCCTTCGAACGGCAATCCCAGCTCCACGTTGCCGCTGCACGTGCAAGGCTTATCGACATCGCCAGGGAGGTAGTTTCCAGAACTCTGCGAACGATAGATTTACATCACTAGATTATAAATTATAAGCTTCTCGTAATCTCGAGATATTTATCGATATTTGTCCCTTACCTTCAACTGGATGTCTTTGCGCAAAGAGGAAGCTACTTGGTATGTTAGTTCACCGTTTTCGCGCACCCCACCCTTGTATTGTAGGCTAAACGGCCCCGACAACTTTGCACTATCCAAATATGTTCCCTTTGCGCTCAGAACGATTTCGAGCAATCTCTTATAACCATCGACATCGGCAAGGTTCTTCAAATTGAGATCGACCTGCCCCTTGTTGCCGTTTAAGTCGACGATCGCTTGCAAATTGCCCTGGTACGTATTCCTCTTGTAATCCAAATCGATAACATCGCCAATATACGTAAATTTCTTCGATATCTTGCCGCCTTTAGTTTCGTATTCCTGACCCTCAAAATTCACGTGGATGTTGTACTTGTCGTCTTTCTTGGTGGACGTGCGCTTGCCTTTGTAAGTCAGATATTGACCGTTCGGGAGAGCGATGTCCGCGTCGACGATCAGATCACCTTCGTTGAAGGTGCCATCTAACTTACAGTTCACCTTGATCTTGTGATTCGCCAATTCGATCACATTTTTCGAGTCGATGGAGTTCTTCTTTACATCATTAATAGTGGACAACTTGAGACACTTGCTCGGGTCCTTTTCCGCATCGAATAGAATCTCGACATCAGCATTGTGTTGTGAACTGCTTATCACGAATTCGCTGCTTCCCTTGATCTTTCGGTTGATTTTCGGCAGATCGATGTTGAGCTGCGCGTTACCTTTCTCCTTCTGTGCCGTGATCTGTCCCACGACGTTCAAATAGTTCTTTATATTTAGGGATAAATTACCCTGCGGATATATACCCTGTCGCAGCAATTTAAGCACAAAATCGATGTACTTGACGTCGTTGACGGTAAAATATGCTCGAGACTGGATATTGGTGGGACGCTCGGCGTTTAGACTACTAAAGAGCTTGACCTTCTTGCCGTTTAGATCCAGATCACCATCCACCTCGAAGTTCACGCGATTGTCGCCCTTGTCATATGTCACAAGCGCCTCGGCCTCGTACTTGCCGCCCGGGATCAGCTCGATCTTGTTCTGGTATTTGCTCTTGTGCGGGTCGACAATCGTACGTTTGGATTCCAGTTTGATGCTATTTTGCAATAGCTCGGCCTCGAATTCGAACTCATACTCGCCCGGTTTAGCTGTGTTCCGCTTGGCGGATAGCTCCGTGCCGAACTTGAACTTGTCATATACAATCTCGATGTCGCCATCGATGGAACCGGGTGTGAGTTTTCCTTCGAGATTCAGTTTCAGCTTCGTAGCGGGATACGAGACTTTGTTGGATCCACTCAGGATAAAGGATTCCTTCGGATTTCCCCATTTTGTAATGACATGTTGCTTGAGAGTGAAACGATTGATTGTGGATTTTAGATCCGGACCATGGACGAAGACTAGATTATTCTCGAACTCTTGTGGATCCTTACGCAATTCCCAGTCGACATCGAATGCTATATTGGGATCTCTAGACGGCACTGCTGATAAACCGAGCGAATAGTGATGTTCTCCCAGCTTTTTCCCATGTGACTTCAAGGCGATTGACTCGTCGCCGTAATTTGCTTTTATATCCAGAGCAACGGTGTTTTTACCAGACTGAACGTATCCATCGAGACCGACGAGATTTTGATCGGCCGCGACCAGAGCTACCTTGTTGAACACGTATTTCTTCGTGTCATTTTCATCGATCAGCTCCACGCTACCCTGCACATTGTATTGCTGACTAGATGTCTTTATTCCGGACTTGGTGCCCGCTAGTTTTTCGATATGTTCCGGCACCTTATATTTCAATATGGGCTTGTACTTGTTGGCACCGTCGGCCAAAAGACCGGCCTGAGCAAAGTATTCATGATGATCGTTGTGCACCGTGACTATAAGCGTCTGTTCCTGAGAATTGGATTTCAATATCGTCTCAATGGAAATCTTTTTGATGGGAGAATCGAATGCCAATTTGGCGACTTTGTTGGGCTCAAGAGTGACTTCACCAGTCAGAGATACGCGTCTATCAGTCTTGCTGTTGGGCGTATCCAACAAGATCTCGAATAATCGAGAATTGGGTGTCTTATCGTAATAAATCTTTAGATGGGCGTTTGTCAGATCATTGTTCTCATTGGTAAGGCTATATTTGTACGGTCCGTTCAAGGGGAAAAATGCTCTCCTGCTCACCGATTCTATACCATCATACGGGTATTCTAGGTGTCCGCAAACTGTTACGCCCACAATGGTGGCGAATTGTTCGAAGCAATCCTTGTATACCTTGCTTTTGCCAAACTTGGCAGGCTTATATATATCGCCTTTCGACCCGGTACTCAACAGGACCTCGCCGGTTGCGCTTATTACCACTTCCTTTTTAAGAGGCGCGCCGACTTTTATATCAATACCCTTGCCATCCAATAGTTTCACTGTCACATCGGTCGCTGTATTGGTATGCAATGTGCTGACGAGCTTCATGCCAGACTCTACATCGAATCCTTTAACGACCAGGCTACCAGCAATCCGAATGGAGGCGCTAGGTTCGAAACCGAAGTGTGCTTCGGCGTTTTGTGGATTCTTTATGATTGCCGGGATGTCTAATTTACCGTATGTCTTCAAGTGAACTACGCTGGTGCCGATCACGCCCACGGAGAGCGCCGTGCCAAGATTTGTCGGATAGATGAGCTCCGCGTCCAGGAATTGCACGCGACTCTGCAAGTTGTAATCAAATTTCTTTATTTTGTCGAATCCTGTTTCAACATTATCGAATATCTTATCGATGATGTTGTGCGGCGATAAATGCACGGGATTTCCATTGTAAGTTAAATACGCCAATTCGACACCGAACAGTTTGACAGATAGATCTATATCAAACTGCTCATCCACCTCGTTGTTTCTCAATTTCACACCTTTGGCGAATTTGTCGAGTTCTCCCTGTTTGACTTCACGCTTATGGCGCAACTTGCTGACTTTCTGTTTAACGTACTTTGCAATATCCTCGACCTTATCCACGCCTTTCTCCACCAAGTCTTCCACCTCATCCTGCGTCAAACGACCTTTAGGCCCAAAGTAGTGCTCGATCAGTCTATCAAGGTTCTCGACACGCGTGTTGAGCTCTAAGAAGTTAAAAGATCTGCCGAATACCTCAGCGGTTAGATTCAAGTTCACCGAACGTGGCACAAAGCTGTTTTGACTGTAAATGACGTTACTCTCCGCGGATGAACCGACTCCGATTCCGCCCACGTTATACGATAATTCATTGTTGAAGGAGAACTTACGGAAATCTTCCGGGAATTTGGTTCGCGGTTTAATCTGATCGAGCTGTCTCTTCGCTTCGGATTTGCTTGGATCAGCGGAGGCTCGTAGGTTACGCAAATGACTCTGAATGAAGGATCCAACTTGATTGACCGTTTCTTTATCTAACGTTTCCTTGACGCTGTTGGCAACATGCGGGCAAACACAGTCGACTAATGACAGATAACTTTTTATTCTGATCTCGCTATCCTCTTCACGATCAGCAAAAACCTTCAGAAGAATACTCTTCCACTTCATAGAACAGCGAACGGGTAGAGCCTCGATCGCGGCCACCCTGACGCGATTGCGAACGTTCTTATCCTCGGCGATGCTGGCTAGTTTATTCATACTGGGGTCATCGAGAAAATGAGTATTTCCCAACGCCTTAAGAGCCGAGACTATGAGGTTCTCCTGTTCTCTAGTCTTCGCCTTTCCGTTGCCGATCTTCTCGCGGATCTTGTGGATAGCCTGCTTAACTTCGGCTACGTTATCGCAGGTGTGCTCTTGACAGTACTTTCCGATCACTTGACCGATCCCGAGGTAACCGAGGCGCGGCAGGTTCGGCTGATCGAGAAGAGACGTGACAGCGGTTACTGACGGTAAATTCACGTGATTGATGAGAGCGAGACTCGCGTAAAAGATGAGGGTCTGAATATCAGTGAGCTCGTGGCTCTTCAACAAATCGATGACCACTTCGGCGGCTTCACCGCTTCCGGTGCGGAAGAGGGCATCCAGCAAAATCTTCTTGTCCTGAACTTTATCAAAACCAGCACCGACCTTCACTTTCTGATAGACGGCGAGAATGTCATTCTTGCTACTGAGACGGAGGACTCGAAGGAGCTCGGCGAATTTCTCCGCTGCATCTTGCTGTACGCTATCACGCTCTTCGGAACTCGCCGCTTTTAGAGCTGCAGCAATAGCGTCAATCGAAGACTTGATGACGGGATGCGGTGCCTCAAAAATGAGAGATTTTGGTTGGGTGACGGGAGCATTCGGACTATCGCCTATCTGGCCCTTAAGAGTCAGCGTGGTTTCCACGATCGTCTTGGCGCTGATATCACCGTTGCTCCATGGCTTCAGTTTGTAAGTCTCGACCGAGGTCGCCTTATTCAAGATACCGCGTTTAAAACGTTGTTCAATCTTCTGGTGGGATGATAGCAACGGAGCCGATTGAATATCGGACTTTGAATCGTAGATCGCGGACACGGGTCCTTCCCTGATGTTCTCGCGATGGGAGCAGCGGCCCAGGTTTCTTTCCTTGTAAATGACTAACGACTCGCCGTCTTTGTGGAAGGTAAAGTCAGTCGGACAGCCGCCAAATACGTCGAACTGAAAGTTTCACAAACATTAGATCGAGATAGTTGTTTAGACAAATTTAATAAATTAGGACGATTTGACTTGTTGACATACCTCGTGATGAGTTGTAGAGCCAGAATCTTGGATGACGGCTGACTGGAAGAGAGAGACGATAGCTCTCTTGATGTTGAGAGACGCCTGAGAGTCACCGGCTTCGGCACAAACCTGCGTATCGATATGGCCATCATGGTAATTGAATTGCAGCGCGTGCTGTTCAACATCTGGTAACGATATTGGCTGGAAAATAAATGATATTTACATTTTCACATATTTATACTCTTAATATTTCTATAAACAAATCTATCATGTTCGTCTATGGCACAGAAGATAATATTTTCCACAGAATTTAAAGTGAAAAGAAAATTAAAAATAAGAAACATTTTATTATATGAAAATTAATCTATAATAAATAATTTATTCTGTAAAAATTAATTTATTAATTAATTATCTTCTCGCGTATCGAGAAACGCCTACAGATAAGAAACTTTTTTACTGCATTACAGTTGATATAAACCATAGTAGTTTTAATTACACATACGTGCAAAAACAGTTCTAATTAAAAGTTTTTAATGTATATAGTTTATTTATACGAGATTGAATTAAGGATGTTTTGTACCTATTTTCAAAATATTGAGAATTTAATGAAAATTGTACAGAATGTCCTTATATCTGTTTAGAATCTTCAGTACAATTTGTAAATCGATTTACTAAAGCGTTCACAAGTTATAAGGATTTTAATTTGCACCGAATTAACATGTGTTCTTATAATTACATAACATATAATTACGTCGATTTAAATGACAAAAACACATGGAAATAATATTCAGAATTTGTTTAAAATTTGCAAAAGTTTAGATACAGAGGAAATATTTGATCAAATAATATTATAAAAGTACTAACTGGTTAAAAAGATATTAAATATAATTCAATAAAGTTAGCCATATATCTGTCACAAGGCGAAATTCTCTGCCAAAAGTTGATCATTTCGATTAACAAAATTCGGAATATTTCAGTAAAAACGCAATAAATATTAAAAAATACATCTCTGCACTGTAGCCAAGATCAAATTGTAATATTCCACACAATTTCTTACTCAAAATACACCAAAAGTAGATATATTCGACAATATTGATTTTCAGCTACTTTTTGCTGGGATTGTACGTACAAATCATCCTTAAAAGTTTTTTAATGTTTTTCAAAAAAGTCAAAATATTATATGTATATAAATTCAACTTTCATATTTCCACTCTATTTTATGTATTCCTATTTTTCCTCTTGTATATTTATCAATTTTTTTTTATTTGGAAATGCGCAATACAGATATAAAACACTTACCGCTCCGTTGATTTCCACGGCCTTCAATCGGATCTGCCGAATGCAGTCAGGTTTCACTGACAATTCAACGGTACCTTTCAATTTTAAGGTAGCGTCACCCTGAGCATCGGGGACTGACGTTACGGACGTTCCGTGTAACTCATATACGTATGTGTGCCCTTCCTGATATGCTTTACCTCCATGTACTGAAAGAAATTAGAGGATAAAATGTAAAATTAAATCCATAATATAAAATCATAAGTGACATTAAATATAACAGAATATTAATTTCTCATTTTTAATGAAAAATTCTTGAAAATAATTACGATAAAATTAGACTTTTCACTGTACAATTTGTAAATATACTTACATCCATGACAGCCGACTGCACATTTATCTATAACAAAAAGAAAATCACATATCAATAACTATAAAAATATATATTTAAAATAATGTATAATTATTAATAACAAACAATAAACAAGGAATAGGAAATGCTATATATTAATTATTTTTTCTTTTTCTTCATATAACCCGAAACGCAGAAAATGTTGTAATAAAGCAAATCACAAGGACGGAATATATACGAAAAATATGGGAAGAAAAAGCATTCCAAGGTTTTTAGGAAACAGAAACGAGATCTAAAATCTTTTTTGTAACGTTACACGTTACTTTAATTTTCAGATTTTATTGCAATGCGGATTCAAGCGGAAAAACAGACAAGCGGTTATAATCTATTATGTTTGACGCAGATTATTTCGAGAAAAAAATATATTTGTGTATCTCTCGGAGTGAACTCGATGCTAGGGTCGAGCGCTGATAACGTGCCGTTAATCGTGACTTTCTTGACCCTGGACCATGGAATTTCCATTTCTGTTCGATAGAGCGTGTCGGGCACCCGCGCGGTTTATAATGGTTTATACCACAATAGTTTCGCCCTTTAACATTTAAATTGATTCGAACGAAACCGCAGTGACTTTTCGAGCTATAAAAGGGAACGTATCTACTAATCAATTGCAGTGCTTGCAATAATTTGACATTTGTGCCATATGCTCTTTTTAGTCCAAACTAAATTTTTTTATTTTTTTATGCGTTTTAAATTGTAAAGGTTATTTATTACGTTGCTCTTACACATTAGGTTGCGCTTTTATACATACATTTCGTATTAAACATCCTTCAAACGTTAATTTTATAAATTTTAAATGAAAAACATTCCAGTTATATCGAATTAATTACATTACATATTGCATCACGTATAACTTTTACCGTGAAATTTTTCCAATTATATTAAATTAATTATATTCTATATCATTAATGTATATGAAATTAATTATACATTACGTGAACGAGTATTCTTAAAAAGTATTTGATATTGATATTTGTTTCTGTGCACTTGGCACAAGCATTCTTATCTCTCATTTCATTTTATCTTGCTGACATTCAGAAAAATAGCAAAAATTGGTGGCAAAATTCATAGGCGAGCGCAAACACGATGCACAACACGATTATAGATAAACATAATTATTGTGTGTGTGAGAGTGTTTCACAAAAAAAATTGTTTTTTTTTTAGAAAATATCAATTTTAATTTTAAATAAGATGGTTTATATCGTGCATTAAAAATCAATTAACGCGCATTTTATTAGTGATGTAATTTTTGTATTATTTTAAAATAAAACCTGCTATTGGATCGATGATATAACGAAATGATGGAATGTCACCAAGTTATAACAGAAGTTTAAAGTTCACACAAACTGCAACTGTATATCACGAAAACACAAAAATATTATAATATTATTTTTCAATATATTTCTCTCTTTCCTTTGGACAAGTCAACGAAGTCACAACTATTCAATTTTTTTCTTGTATGATTCTACGCATAAGCTAGTTAGATGATTAGGGAAAAAATAGATTTACAGACATAAATCTCATTACACACAGTAAGATACGAACCGACCATAAACTAAGTTACTCAATATTCACATCAAAACATTAATTAAAATGAAAAACAAGCAAGCATCAAAATTTGTACTTTGCACTTGTGCACCAGTTACATAAGTATTTACTCGATGAAGAGATAATTGATTGCATCTCGGCACAAAGATTAACTTTTCTCAGCAAACAAAAAAAATGCAAACAATAGAAAACATGCAAAATTAAAGTGACTTATAAAGTGACTTACAAAGTTTACGAGATATGATAATATTTTTCGTTGAAGCAAGAGTGGAAGTGGAAGCTTAGTTAGTGGAAGCAGTTAAATCTAATCCTTCCAATTTATATGTAATGAGTATGTGTGAATATAGAGAGATATTACTAGAAATCTTCCATTACTAATGTTTCCAATAAAACATTATATAAATATATATATATATATATATATATATATATATTTTTTTTTTTTTTTTTCTAGGCAAATTAATAATAAAATGTAAAATATAATATATAAAAAAATAATAATAAAATAAAATAAAATAATAATAAAACAATAAATTAATAGTAAAATATATAATAATAATAATAAACAACATGATAATTATGAAACGAGCGATAAGAGTCTAAAAACGCGGATGGTAATGCGTAAATTTTTTTTTTTTTCCAAACATTAATTGTTCGCGAAAAAATTTTTTTAAGACGTTCACAAGGCATTTATACATATATTTTACTTGGTGTATATGCCAAGTTATAGATTCTCTTGGTTTGAGACTTCTGTAACACTCTCTTTACCTCCCTAAAGAGATGTAGACAGGAAAAATATCGGAGCGAAATCGCTGAATCGGGAATCGAACCCGAGTCTATTCAACCCCACACCGACACTTCTCCTGTCCGTTTTTACACCAAGTAAAGTATATGTATAAATGCCTTGTGCACGTCTTAAAAAAATTTTTTCGCGAACAATTAATGTTTGGAAAAAAAAAATTTACGCATTACCATCCGCGTTTTTAGGCTCTTATCGCTCGTTTCATAATTATCATGTTGTGAAATACATAGAGCCGTATTCTTTATAAATTTATTTAGAAATAATAATAAAATAAAATAATAATAAAATAATAAATTAATAATAAAATATAATAAAATATAAAATATAATATATAAAATAATAGTAATTAATTTTTTCTATAAAAATAATATAAGTGACGGCGAAGAGCTTTTTGTTTACGTGATGTAAGAAAGAAAAATATAGAGAAGATGAAATAACAGAGTAACCGAATAAATGAAGAGAAAGAGATATAGATGAGATACAAGAGAAGGAGGGTAGCGTTTCTTCAATGGAGACAAAAGGGATAACAAAGAGATAAAGAACAACGCGTGTGAAAAGAGGAGGAGGGAGAGAGTGTTGGTCTCGAGAATAGACCAAAAGAAGGGTGAATCTATTCGATAAAGGTGTACATTGTTTCTGTACAACAATACCGCGAACCCCGGCGATCAATTTTCCTCCTCTTGATCGTTCTCACTTTAGCGGCAATCTACGAGTTCGTTGAAATATTCCTGCAGTGAATTTTCTCTTCGTTATTCCCAGTCACCGCAACCGGAAATTCATCTGTTTGACTTCGCAGAATGCACGACCAAGGGATTCCTTTGAATTTGTATTAGCACTTTTATTTCATTCAATTGCCTTCTATTTTCCGCTTTTCTATATAAAAACTTTTTATCTGCGAATCCTTTGAGCAATCTTTAAACGAGCTTTCTCAGCGACAATAGGAATATCTATAAATAGCAATATATTTCTAGATACAGAATAACAAAATCTTATAATTTTCGCGCATAATGATATTATTGAATCTTCTCTATTGAGATTTTTCAATTTGAAATGCTTAAAAATATGTCAAAGATTAGGAAAAAAATTTTTTAAAAATGGCACACGAGAGCCAACGCGCGGTAGTTGAAGCGCAGAGAAGAAACAACACTTCTTTTTTTTTTTTTAATATTAGTTTATTACAAATTCATATTACAATAACAAAAAACGCGTTGGCTCTTTGCCATTTTCCTTTTAATTTTTTAATTACTTGAGCAAAATTTCTAATTATTAAATTATTTATTATTTATTAATTGTTTATTAATTTCTAATTATTAAATTATTGATTAATTATTTATTAATTTCTAATTATTAAATTATTTATTATTTATTAATTATTAATTATTTATTAATTAAAGAAAAAAGCATATTTTCCATTTTTTATCAAGAGATATAGAATCAATTGAAATTTACAACACAGAGGATCGCGTGGGATCTAATTTGTGGATGAAATACATAATTGTGATTCTCCTTAGACATTATCTCATCAATTGAATAAAGCAACGTCACCAAATGCGCGCAACATGAAATGTACAGTACGTTTAGAGAGTCTCGCCGGAATTTTGCCGTAATCTAACGCAATTGCAACTGTAATTTCTGAGCGTTGCTCGTCCCCTTGGACGAAGCTCGGCGCGATTAGGAGTGCTCCGCTCTCGTTGTATCACTTAAACGCGTGCATTATGCAAATTCGCGTAGTGCTCGCGTACGCTTTGTACGTATACACTTTCATATTTCATCATATGTTCAGGGACGCCGTATCTTTCTCGCATTATTTCATGCGTCGCGTTTAAACGTCGATCTTTCTCCTCGATGATCCCGTATTCTTCTCGCTCGTATTTTTAACCCGACAATCGCGCCTCGCGTTTCTCGCATACAACTGCGCCATTGTAATTATTTATCACGGAATTTTTAATGCATTGTCAATAGCCATTGAGCGACTCTCTCGATACAACGAGAGATGTTACGCTTAAAGGGAGATATTCATATGAAACAATCCATCCATCTCTTTCTCTCGTTCTCTGGATGATTGTTTCTCTATTTTCCGGCGATGTTTCTGGTGCTACGACGGTCACAGCTTTGCGAGGCAATTGGAAAAACGTGACGCCAATAGAAAACGCGACGATTGCAATCGTACTTTATTCTATTTCGCTCGCGTAAACCGCGGCGAACGACGCGAAACGATGGCTTGCGCGTTCCCTTTACGTATTTTCAAATGCGCCGGTGAAAGAACGTTTGTTATACGTCGCAACGGCCAGATCGGATCTATTTTACTGGGATGTAGGGACGTCAGATCAATTTACCAAATGTCCGGTCAAACACGGGGGACCTATAATCATTTCAATGATACGGACCTCGTTCCGTCCACCGATATACGCCATACGCGAACTCTTTAAACAGCTATTTGTTACATTTACAACTGCAAGCAAACCTCTGCACCACGTTGAATTCTCCAATTTATTTGTTTTTCTCAACAGCTCTGTTATTGTAAAAAAGAAATCATATATATTTCTTTATATCTATCGCAAATGATATCATATACTTACGCGTAATATGAAATTATGAAATGGAAAATTAACAAGTTTAAAAAATAATAGGATTTATTAATCGATATCATTTGCGATAGATATAAGGAAATCATATATATTTCTTTATATCTATCGCAAGTGATATCGATTAATAAATCCTATTATTTTTTAAATTTGTTAATTTTCCATTAATAATTTATTGGCATCGGAGAATGGAAGAAATGTATCTAAACGATTTTCTATTTCATAATTTCATATTATGTATAGAAGAATATAAGTTTTTAATGTTCTTGCAGCTAATACTTAATAATATTTTATAAGAGCGACCAATATATATCCTAATGATTATTTATATCGCGCATGTACTAGTACGTGCTAATTATATATTCGATTATTCATGATTGACTTGAACAATGCGTTGACGTACAAATCAAAGACAAAAAATGTGAAGGCACGCACGATAAAGGGTTATCAAGTAAACGGTAGAGAATTCCTCGCACATTGCGTTTGAAAGCAAAAACATTGACTTTCTCTATTATAATTGCAGAATAAATAATTTTTTATCGCCAACTCTCTGGATAATAGTAGCTTTAAACACTCAATTCCATTCGTACATTATTCAAATGCGATTGGAAATATATTTGCAAATCAATGCACATGTAGGTACGCCTACATGTTTACGAATTGATAAAAGTGCACTAGATTTTTTTACATTATTTATTTTTTTTTTATACATCTTTTTTTTATGCATCTTTTTTTTATGCATTTTATACATCTGATTGTAATTTTGCGAAAAATTTAAAAACTGACATTTTTCTGCGTATCCCCGAATAATTTTCTACAGTTACTTTACATCTCTTATCATGTATATATGTATATATTTTATTTGTTTGCAAACTGTTTTAATCTTTTTCTAAAGCATTCTTTCACTTGATTTTGTTAATAAAAAAAATTGATATCCGACATTTTCTTCCAGTATAATTGAATTAAAAGACAATTTTCTTTAAACTCCTAGTAATAAGAAAGTATTAAATACCAACGTACGCCGATAAAAAGTTTTATACTTTATAACATAAAATAAGTAAACGGAAAGTTGCAACTTCGATTAAATCAAACTCTAAAATAACATGTAATGTAATATAAAAGAGAGAAGGAGAGAGAAAATACATCACGCATAAAGCGGAAACGTAGATAAATTTTATATCGAAAGCTGAATCATCGCTGCAGGAGCAAAGGTGACTAGAAAGATAAAGAAAGATTTGTAAAGGAAGTTGAAAACTTTTCTCTCGTTATTACGAAGAAGCTTAAGATGAATCTCTTCAAGATAGCTATATCGAAGATTATTTCTTCGTAAATCCCGGCTTAACTACAGTATTGCAAGAGAGAAAGGTTTGGATATTTTTAGTTTATTATGCTAATCATGGCAAGTGTAACAATCGCCGGATAAAATTCTGCTAATCTCTCGGGATCCTATCGCTCTCACGAAAATATTACCAATTTCAACATCCATTTGCGACGATAATCTTTATCCTTGACACAACAAATAACCTTATGATATTCAAACCTGACCGCGCTGAGCGCGTTGACCTTTTCTATCAACTCGCGTTAAATTAATCTTTAACTTGATAGAAAAATTTAAACTCATGGAAATCCATCCGGTCTTCTCGAAAGGTCTACACGAACATCGTTTAGACCTTTCAGCTTTATATACTAGGATCGGGGCACAATTATCGCAAATTTATTGCAACTTTTTTTATCAGCTTTTTTGAAAATATCAAAAATTTAACTATAATTACGTTATAAACTTTAATAACTCAAATAATAATTATAAAGATAATGTGCTGGTATTCTCCAAACGCAAAAAAATTGATAATAGAATAAAATAAAAATTTGCGATGCCATTTTTCATTAATTACATATTTTTTCTTCAAATATCGCATTAATTATATAATAGTATTTCAAAAATTTTATTCTTAATCGCGAATTAATCATCTTCGGAATTGGGAGATTGCTTGAAAGAAGCAAATCCATTCTTTTTCCTTTGGTTGGAACGATATCGGTTATTCCGATTCCTCTTTCGTATCGATACATACAAATATAAAGTTGCAATTCTAGAATTAAGAACTTTTTCATTAGCGGATTCTAAAAGTACTCCTGCATCGACATCTATATATACGTATAAAAGGATTCTCTTTGATATATTTATCTAGCTCTCTCGATCTATTCTAAGCAAATTTTCTGACAAATGAATCGCCCCGCTTTCCTATCATTTTCGCACTTTCGTAATTATCTAAGAATTATCTAAGAATAGAGAAGAGAGGAAATGGTTTGCAACGGCCATCTTTTCTTTAGAGATTAAATTGAAGCACAGACTGCTCTGCAGAAAGGGATGAAAGCGACGTGGTGCTTTACTCACCGCCCAAGGCGTCGACCGTCAGAAACAGGAGGCAACCAGCGAAGACGGCCGTCCTCGCGAGCCCCATGGCTTCCTTTTGCCCGAGAACCGCAAGCTATTGCTTTTAGCACTACTTTCTCGCACAATCAGTGATGACACGATCGGCGGCCACGGGCGAACGCGACAAAAGCGTCCGCGCTTTTCTACGTCCGTGCTTTTATGCTCTCATCGCTCCCCACCCGCTTGTGTCCAACAATCCTACCCTATGCACATCGGTCCGTTTTCATACGTATGTGTCATGTGGGCCCCGCGATACGTGCGAGATAAAAAAAGAGATTTATCCGTACACCCCCGGCCGAGAAGGAAAAGGAGAGATGATTAGTGAAAACGGCTTATCGACATTTTCCTTGGTGGTAAAGAATAGAGCTTGTAAAACGGACATTGACCATCCCGATAACTATCCTTCCAAAAAGCATGTTTTATCAAGAGACCGATTCTCGCTTCTCGCTACCAATTATTTTCTGTGACTCATATTTATGAAATATTGAAGATAGCTTTTTTCGTATTTTTTAATAATGATTTTAATAATAATTTCGTATTTTTTAATAATGTAATTTCTAGTAAAATATAAATACTTCCTTTTATGAAAGGAGTTATGAACGGTTTGCGTAACAGCTAATCAAGTAGATTTGTGACATTTAATATTTTATATTTCATAAATCATATACAACTGAGATTTTATTCTTGAAAACAAAATTTGAACACATATTACATATATATATATATATATATATATATATATATATATATTTACACATACATACATTTACATATATTATTACGTATATTCTTTTGTCTAACAATAAGCTCTTCTTTATTTAAGAATCACGAATTCCTCGTCCTGTCAGGAATCTGCGTTCATTAATTCAAGACTTTTACGACTCATTTACGACTCTTGGGAAAATTTTAGTTTTCCTTGCTGCCCATATGTTGAAACATATGCGCGCCATCGCTCTTGTCCCTTATAAAATATCCCGGTCCTTCGTATTCTAGTTTAACTACTAAAGAAATTTCGTTGCTCGCATCGCATCCCTTTCTTATTTTTCAGAAATTACAATAGAAAATTATGAAAGCAGTGTGATTTGTTTATATCATCGAGATTTATTTATTTGTTGAAATCATTAGAGCGATCCATTTTCAGTTACATCCACTAGTTTCGGATTCTTTTAAATTTTCTCTTATGATATTAAATACATATCTTCCTTATATTACTGATTTTATTCAAATTGTGTATATTGAAATAAAGCATCGATAATTGCTGTATAATTTTTATTGTTTGTAAACTTTTTTCCCTATCAACAATTTGAATTATTTTCGTTTATTATGTATTATTTTTTTACACTAAAACAAAAGTAATATTTTAATGTAATTTCTAGTAAAATATAAATGCTTCCTTTTATGAAAGGAGTTATGAATGGTTTGCGTAACAGCTAATCAAATAGATTTGTGACATTTAATATTTTATATTTCATAAATCATATACAACTGAGATTTTATTTGTTAAAAGCACAAATAGAAACTATAAACCAAATCTTTTTAACTGATTATATAAAGAGAATAATGTTTTTAGATATGTAAGTAATCTAAAGTCACACACACACACACACACACACACACACACACACATATACACACACACTTGATTAAGTCTTTAAACATAATATAGTTTATGTCAGAATGCAACTTTAGAGCTAATTCATTATATAATATTATATATTTTTTTATAAATACTGATATAACCTACTATCGCTACTTATCGCTCATTTCTTGAAGTAAGATGCAGCACATACACTAATATTAAAAATTTACGATAATCATGTTTTAACTGTACTATATTTGTACGACAATTGCCCTCAAATGATTTTGTCCCTGACTGTACATGCAAGAATTTCAAGAGATGGAATATTTAACAATTGTTCTTGACAAATATACTACTTTTTACTTATACATTTTTAAGTAACAATAAAAAGATAGCTATTTTTTAGTTATAACTTAAACATAATTTTGCGTAATTCATATTTTAGCATATTAGAATATATTTTGATACATATATACATGTCATCGCATTAAATTAATTAAGATAAACAACTTATTTTTTTAAATCTTATTTTTTAAAAATAACTTTTTGCCTTCGTTTGCGCTTTAGCTCAGTTTTATATGAAAATATTAGATCAGCATATTGCTATTGATCAACATAACTAGTGATTCATAACATCGCTCAATAAATTTTCATTAAATAATATTGAATTTAACAGCCAACAATTTTTGTTTACAAATTTTTCATTTAATCATTTTAGTCTGAACTTGTGATATTCAAGCGTATACCTGCCATTTAGTTGTATTATAATTACATGTAATATCAGAGATCCAAATGATGAAAATATCACAATTACATTACTTAATTATTCAGTATTCAAATTATTATTTAATAAATCAATAGAGATTTAAAGAAGCTTAAATTTATTTTAAACTATTTTAAGCATAATACAATTTATTTCAAATCATTTTAAGCATAATATAAAGTAGTTCATATAAAGCATTACAGGTTTTTTTTATCCATTTAATGTAAAAATGTCTTTTTTTCGGTGTCCTAAAATTTATGTGACACATGAAATATGACTACTGAACTCTTATATAACATCTCGTAAACTATTGATTTTTCAATAATTAGTTTTAATTTTACTTAAATATTTTTATATGCAGGGTAACTAGGATAATCGATATATTATAAATTCGTATGGTTTCATTTAAAAAAGAATAAAGATTCTTTTTTATCCTTTTCGAGAGTTCAATAGTAATGTTTCATTATGTACATGTTACATATAAAAAAAACTTCAATAATCTTAAAATAGAAAAATCTTAAAATATATGCAACAAAAATTGTATCGTTATTTTAAATAATTTAAATAATTATTTTAAATAATTTGCAAAGCTTTATATGAAACATTTTTATACAAAGCTTAAATAACATCGAATTATGTTTTCTTCAGATACTTGGAAAAATTTAAATATCGCATGTGGATGTTATAAAATTTTGTGGACGGATCCGGAAAAATTTCCAACGTTGTTTATCTTGGATGTCAGTTAGCTTGACTTTATCATGAAACGGAAATCACTTCTAGTTGTTTCCGCAGCATTAGATTTATGACATTTGTTTTTTTCACATACATGAGATATTTTCATTTCGATTAAATTATTTGATGAAAACACCTAGTATAGAGTGCATATGACTTTTAAATATTTTTATAATTCAAAAATATTTTCTAATATTCGAAACAATTTCAAAAATTACATTTTTGTTCCTTATACTTTTCGCAGATCAAAATATGTAAGTCACTCGGTCGCTTCGATGATGACTAAAAATAATAAATATTGATTATTGCTTAGCAGCCACAGAAAACTGTTACCATTTTTTATTATACATGATGCAAATATGTACTATGATACAAATATCTAATGAAAAAGCACTTTTAAAAAATGGTGAAATTTTTCTATAGCTACTAGATAGAGATAAGATAAGATAATGAAACAAACATCTATTTCACAGAAATGAGAAGAACTAAGAATTATATCATATAATTTGCTTACGTTATCGTAAATGATGCTAGAAAAGCAAATAAAAATTTTACATACACGATAATGAAGAACGCGATGAAAATTCAAATCGCTTACGTGCTCTTTTTCTTATCTTTTAAATCTTGAAAAATGTTTGAAATTTAAAAAATTACTTTACAATATTTTACAATGACAATTAAAATATATACTTTATAAATTTAAAAATATATAGACTTTTTAAAAATCGTCTAAAATGACAAAAATCAATTCAAAATATCAATTCTGCACACACATTTGAATACTCTTAAAAGATAGCTGTTTAGTCTATAATATCACACATGAATCAAGAAAAAAGACAGCAATATACGAAAGAGAGAGATACAGATTAAAATAGTAAGTAAAGCTAAGACAGTTCGAATTCTGAGCAGGATGTTTTGGTTCTATGACATATTAGCGATTACGAAAGTTTAACGCTATCTAAAAGTTTGACATTTTTAGTACCTCGAGATACATAACGAAACTTTGTCTTTCAATTAATTTTAATATAATTTTATCTTAAAGCGGAAATTTAATTTCTAAACTATTTATTTTTAATAACTGAAAATTTCGCGTCAAATAATATGACCTTTGATAAAATTATTGTTAATTAAAAGTCAATATTAATTTTATTATTACAATATTCAATTTATATAGCTTGCCATATTTTATAATCCTGGTACATTATATATGCGACATCAAATCAAAGTAATTAATTCATAACTTTTATATAATTCGCACACGTGAAGATATATTTTATACGAATAATTATATTTTACTAGCAATTTGAATTATATTTTTTTTTCATCCACTTGTAAATGAAAAGCACGTGTAGTATATCATAATTTTTTAACACGTGTAACTTAGAAAAACTACGTATAAAATATAGAATTAAAACATAATAATATAACAAAAATAATAAATACAAAAAATGATGTATGTAAATTTAATGCTGAAAACGAAATATATATTTTAGTAAAGCTTCTATGCTATTTTATATGTATATCGGCTTTCGAGTCTGTAGATAAGGAAAGCTTTATCTCTCCGACAATGAACTCTATTAATCTCTGTTAAACTCTGTTTAATTTCGATTTTTTGAGATTAAGTCGAAAAAAATTAATTATATTTAGCATATATTTTTTTCTAAAGAGAGATTGTGTTACATTCAATAACATATTTTAATAAACATCGTAATTAGTGTAATTTAAACTCCATATTATGAAATATTATGTCATATTATGAAATTTTTTATATATTTTTATATTTTAAGATTGCACAGAAACTAGATAGCTTTGAATCATTATTAATTTTTTTTAAAGCGATAAAACGTAAAAAGCACAGATTTCACTGATGGAATACAGGCATTTTGATTACGTGAACTTTAGGTATCAATGCTGGAACTATCGGGCCAACGAGCACGATGTAATCTACCGCTTCTATCATTGTTCTCGAGCAAAGTTTATGCTCTATTGGTACGCAACCATGTATGCACTTGTATGCTCGAATGGCGAATACGTGATCAGGAACGAGCGAAAAGCTAGCGGTAGAA